GCAGTACTATTACTCCCCTAGTAATATAGCGTATACGCCCCGTAAATCATCAAATGGAATTGGCGTGCGGCCAGCATCAAAATGAAAACACAAACAGAAAAACACCAGCACCAGTTAGACAAAGGAGACGACAGACGCCCGGCGGACGGAGCAACCGACAGACGGACACACGGACATTCGGTTCAGTTCAGGAATTAATGGCGTAATTCCAAATGGGTTTTTGCGGATGAAAATACTAAGTGTTTGGCCAATTGCTGAAATATTTTCCTATTTCCATACATATATGGGTTGTTTTTTTGCATAATGGCTGGCAAAATTGCATAGTTGTAGCTATTAAAAAAATAAATAAAAAAAAGTTCGACTGGGGTGTTATTTTCCATTCGCAAATAACAATGATAAATAGTGAAAATAATGAGAGCTGAAATAATGTTTATTTGGAACGCGGCCACAACAGGGGCCATAAATTAGCGCTGTGGCCAGTTTGAATTTGTGTGTGGTGCACGTTGCAACGATGTCATCAGTACTACTATATACATAGACAGATAGTATCTATTAGATGCACCCATGAGTCTCCGGAGGCAGTGCCAAAATCTTTCCCACTGACTTGCGGAGCCTCTCTAACCACAGAACTTGTAGGGGCTGTTTTTGGCCATTTTCTGCTTCCCTGCTGCTTGAGAGGCGGTGGTTCCTCCGCTTTTGGCACCGCTGACGCATAATTTATTTATCGAAACACACTAATTGCGATCCCACACAGGAAAATGTTCTATAAACGCCGAATTTAAATCATCCCAAATGAATCTATTACGGTTTTATAATAATACACAGATCAACGTTGTTGCTGTCGGCTTATTTATCTTTTTGGGGTCATAAATTTTGGATTATTTTTATTTTAATTCTTGAATAACATTTTAAAATCATTTGTTTATCAAATGTTTGAGGGGCCCCATCTAGCGGTTATGCTTGGTACTACAAATATCAGTGCCAAAGCTTTGGTATGAAGCTTTACAGTGGTTGCGCAAAAAGTGAGTACGGTTTTTGGTTTCTTAAGAGAGGTTTATGGTTTTTACTATTATTTCATAAAGGAAGGTTCAATAGGAACATTTTAAATGCAATCCAAAACTTTAGACCCTAATTTAAGCTCCTGATTTTTTTTGTTGGGTTCTTTTATATCTCACCTCCAATCGTGCGCTGCAAATCCAGGACATTCTGATTTACATTGCTCGCAGCGAACTCCATCTTCAACCTCTCTTATGATGGCACCCTGAAAAAGATGAAAAATATAAAGAATAGTTTAATATAAAGAAGAGAAATTTTAAAAATATATAAGCTGTTTTTAATTATTTTCTAAAAATGTCTAGCTTCTTTGGAAAGTTTTCTCTTAAAATAAAAACACTTTGAGAACACATATTGCCTTTTAAATCAACTCCCTTTTATATTAAACCCAAAACAAGTCTTGTTTAATTCCTGGAAAAAAAAAATGGAAAACAAGGGTCCAGACACAACCGATTTACGATTCTACAACTTAATTTCTGCCCTGCTCATTTACGCGCCATTGCACCAAACAATTCCATGTTCTTCTGGCCATATCTGAAATGACCGGGCTAAGGCTGAGGGCTGAGGACTGAGGGTGCTGGCAATGGCGATGGCGCTTGTTGGGGATGCAAATACAAGTATATATGGAAATTGCAGTTGGTGAGCCAAAGGAAAACGGAAGCAAAAACCGATGCCACATGCCAAAAAGTTAAGCTCAAAAAAGATGGGGCCAAACGCCGGCAGAATGCGGCTGCTGTGGCAGTTGCAGTTGCTGCCGTGGATGTTGCAGTTGCACTTGTTCCAAAAATACACGACGAACCGAGCCAAAACCGAAAACCGAAACAAACACAACGCGGAGGGAAACACAGAAATTGCACTTGGCACGCTTCCATTTTTGCCCAACATTGCCTTTGTCTTTGTGTTTCTGTTTCGGTGGAAAACGGCCCTGCCTGGTGAACTGCAGGAAAATAGTTTTCCTTTTTCGGTTTGCCAGTCGGTTACCCTGCCAGTTGCCCCTGCTGACTGGCCCCTAAGTCGAGGACTGCAGTGGCAAAATGCTTGCCAATAAACACGAAATTTGACTTTTCATAGCGATGACCCGGAGCATTAATATTCCGGATGTCCTGCCATGCCCTCAGTGCACTTTACCATTTTTATTCAGGACCTTTTGTTTTTGTTTTAGGCAGCCATTTGGGTGCCATCGAATCCATCGCTGGCAGCGATAATTGTGACACGTCGCCGGCCAAAAATCGATGCTGACCCAGTTCAAAGGCGGCGGAATAAAATTCCACTGCCACGGCACAGGACAATGACAATGGCAGGGGGATTGGCAAGAAGGACGCGGACATGGACGTGGACTAGGACGAGACAGGGCAAACATTTGCGCCCTGACGCGCGGATATTATTGGCATTAAGTTGCAACTTGGGTCGCTGTTCGGCAAATGTTTGATTTCCACTTAAGCGGGTCGCCGCTTTGTCTTCCGCTTTGACTTTGATGCTATTCCTATATCTATAGATATATTTTTTGGCTTTTTTTCTTGGCTTGGAGCAAAGATTAATGTGTCGCCAATTAAACAAATGGGTATGTCAATAAATCCCTGATGGCAAAAGTTTCACCAAATACGTTGTTGCTGTAATGTGATATTAAACAGATACCATCCATTCGGATCTGAGCCGGCTCGGGCTTATCAACCGATTTGTATTCCTCCCCCGAAAATAATCCGTGATGTCATTTGCCATTTCGTTCGCCTGCGAACCAATTTCATTTTTAATTTTCATAATCTCCAGCATAAATAAACATGAGCAATGAAATTTTGTATCGGGGCTGCAATTGCCATTTTGGGATTCTTGACTTTTTGGCTCGCTGTCTTGTAACTCTTAAGTCGAACAAATCTGGCTCTAATGGCAGCCAGTCCAGTTTCGGTGAGCCCACTCACTGGACTCACCCACTCGATGCTAAAATTCTAGCTCGGCCGAGACAATATTCCGCGAAATATCGAAAATATACACAAATCTGAATTGAAAGAGCTGAGACACTACATTTTCGAACTATGACGTTATGTGCCACTGGCTGTTGACTGTTTGTCTGCAGTAGAAAGAGAGTATAACTTTTTTGGGGTAAAGACCATAAAATACCTCTTAAAAATCCATTCAAACTTTGAGAAAGTTGAAGGAGAAAAATATCACTCATACGCACTGTGGTACATGACCTTCCATAAACTATAATAGGGTCTTTGTTAAAAACAGTTGATTTTTTTTATTAAGTTTATAAATAATATTGAAAAATACTTCTAAGTAAGCTTTCAATTCTGAAAAGAAACCCATACTTGCATTGGCCTACTAGTCGTATGAGTAATTTTTTTAATAGATCGATTTTCCTTCTTAAACTTTATAGTTTATTTATTAAATTCCGTTTTATTCTAAAAATAAATAAACAATAAATAAACTAAAATCCCATATTTGGAGCTTGGTGCCATTTTTTATGATATTAACCCGAAATACCCTTGATTTCCAACCTGTACAGGGTAATAAAATCCGTAGGTCGTCGTCTCCATTGGCGGCAGTATAAACAATAAAAAAAAAACAGAAAACCGGTCTTCAGTTACTTGGAAATGAATCTATGCGTAGTAAAAAAAAACACACTCTCTTATACTATATATTTTAAAGCGCAAGCAGAACAGTAAGTGTTTGTTTATTGCGAAACTCAACCCAAAAATAAAAAATAAAATAAAAAAAAGAAAGAAACACACTTGCAAGTAAAGTCCAAATGGAACAAGTGAAGTTTTGGGGGTTTTTTCGGGCTTGAGTTGCGGGAAACAGCGACCTAATGATCACGAATTAACCTAATGTTATTTACGAGCCCAGCTGGTAGCTCTGTTAGGTGATTCAAAGTCTAATTTCAACCTGTTTTGTAGAAGACCCACGCAAAGATCACACCAAGATTCCCACCCATCTGGGCAAGGTTAATCTGCGTTTTAGCTTACATTGCAAAATCAAAATGTTTACTTTTTCACACTCCAGTTAACGACTACGAAATGGAAAAACTAGACAACTAGACAAAGTGCGTGGCCAACTGAGACTGTTGAGACGACAACTGATCTCGGTCTCAGTATGTAGTTCAAGATCATGCGTAGAGTTGGGCAAGTTGCACTGGCCATGTTTAGAGCCGACAACTAACTAAAGAAGTTTTCGCAAAGTTAATGGCGCTTTTGGCCATAAGACGAGTCTCGACTGGCCTCGTTGCTGCCAGATTAGAAAGTGAAAAGAGCCCAGAGTTCGGCTGAAATTTAGTGGGCCAGAGATCTGCTAATTAGCCAAGAGACGGATACGGTCAGAGAAACTCCACGAAAGATTAAAGTTTCAATTAAACAAAGTATTTATATAACTATTCCGATTGTCTGAGAGTATGCTGTGTCATCTTGGGTTTATAAAAAGCGAATCCCATTAATGGATTTATTCTGCGATGCATTCTTTATCTAAACAAGATGACAATCTAGTAGAACGTCTGTTGACATCACCATAGCCTGAGGGGGGCAAGGCAATTTATTCCATAATTTGTGTACGAGTACGAATAGATTTTTTTTTTTTTTTCGAAAACCAAATACGGCCAAAAACTCATCAGATGCTTTCTAACTAGAAATTCCCGCCCTCGTCTTGTCAACCAATCGAGTTACCATATTTAATGCCTGTCACGTAACGCTCGCTCATTTTCATGCACAGTTAGTCATACGGATAGTCATACTACAGTGCGATATGTCCATATATCCGTTGACCTAACTACTCTTTTTTTTAGAGCAGCAAGTTCAGAGCGCACTGTCAGCCTGTTTTTTTGGGGCCACAACTCAAAACTGACAATTAACACTCTATACTAGAGTGCTTTTTCGGGTTCGCCGGAGTCGTGAGTCGTCAAAGTAATGGATAAAAATTCCCCCCCATTTAAGCCAGCGTACATTTTTCATTATCTGGTGTCGTTTGTTTGTTTTTTATTATTTACTTAGCCATAATTTTACGTATAAAAAAAATTCACAACGCTCGACATGGATTGCATGGATTGATGGATACATAAATCATTTGTTTGCCCATTATCGACTGACTGGCAACAACAAGTAACGAGTCAAGACTGCGCTCCCAGCTTTGATAGTGACGCAATTGAAGAATTCTCCTGATTCTCCCGATCCTCCTCCATTCTTAGAATCTCAATTTGGTTGACGCCTACCGCCTACCGCCAGGGCATTTTGATCGGCGATCGATTCCGACGTGGCATGGGGGCGGCTACGTGGGCGGCCGATGTGTGAGTGTTTGCGGCACGTGTTGGCGGCTCGCGACGCCCCAAATATACAGTGGGACCTCCGCTGGACGCGATTCTACTGGCGGGCTTGGCAGGTGCATTGTAGTGTCCACCAAAGTACGTGGTCTGCTGTGGTTGGCGGCTCTGCGGCTTGTTCCCGTACAGCTGGACCCTCGTCGGAGCACGCCCCCTGGTGACCGGAGGGATGTTCTTGGTCTGATCGGCGCCGATGTGGACGAGGGTTCGTCCTCCCTTCTGCGGGGCGCTCTGGCCCACACTGAGGCGGGTGGGGGAGGTCGCCTGGCGGTGCCATCTGTTCTGAACCGGACTGGTGCTCCTCACGGGTGGTCGGCTGGGATTCGTGGCCAGCAATCGTTGGGCGTAGTACTCCGTTGTGGGCATCGGCTTGGCCACGCCCACGGGCACGAATCTGCCGGGCGAGTGCGGGGATATGGAGTTCTTGATCTCGATTCGAATGGAGGGGGCGGGTACTGGTTCCGGCGAGGGGGTTATGTGTCGCAACGAGGACTGAGTCACCCGGAAGGTCTCGTTTCTTTTCACGGGCGAGCGAGTGGCGGAACGCGAGGGACGATCCCGGAGCGGAGACCGCGACGTGGGTCTGTAGTTATCGTTCTCGAAGACCAGGAAATTCGGGCGGTTCTCTTTGGACTCCCGACGTTCCAGGTTCTTGCCCGCTGCCGGCTGGGCGGGAACCTCCACGAACCAGGCGGGATTGTGGGGGGCCTCCTTCTGCTGCTGCAGCAGGCGATCCCTGAAGGACTTCCTGAAGCTGTTCAGCGTGACTGTCTTGTACTTCTCCTTTTCATCCTCCTCGCGCTGCTGGTCCTCCAGGAGGTCGTCGTTGGAGTGGGTCTTCAGCTGCTCCAGCTGCTCTCTCAGGTGCGTGGGTGTCTTGTTTTTGCGGTACGTGGAGGAGTCGAAGCTGCCGCTGGAATTCGAGCCGATGCTGGACTGCCGATGGACGCTTCCGCTGTTGGAGTCTCCTGCCTGCAGTGCCCTCAGGCTGGAGTGCTGTTCGTAGAGGAAGTTGAAGGGATCCGCCTGGGCGTCGTAGTCCTGCAGGCGATCGGCTCCATCGCTCCTCCACTTGTAGTAGGTATTGGTGGCCGTGTCGCTGGGATGGTGCTCGTAGCTGGCCACTTCCTCGGGGGAAGGGGTCTTCTTCCGCTTGGTGAAAGTGCTGAACTTGCTAAAGACCTTGGATTTTTTTGACTTCTTCTCTAGAGTGGAGGTGTTCGAGGCAGGAGCAGTATCCTCCTCGGAGTTGGGCAGTATGAAGGTGTCGCCCCGCTGGAGGGTAGAGCTGGCGGTGGAGTCCCTGCGACTGGTGGCGGCGGCACTAATAACACTGGCCGGCCGGGAACCGGATGACCGCACGGGCGTTGTGTCGCGGGAGGAGGATCGGGAGCTCTTGGCCCGTGACGACGAGAGCGAGGAGCGTATATTCCGGAAAAACGACATCACGGCGTTTATGTGGGTGGGGATCTTCGTTCTCTGTTTTCTTCTGGCTAATTAACCTTGAAGGAGACGTAATCGCTGCTGATCTGTTAATAGCGATTCACGATCTCCGATCTGTGATCTGTGATCCGTGATCTGCGCGATCCAAGCCGCGAACCGACACTGTCAACAGCCGTCGAGCAACTTGGGTAGACTTGGATTTCTGTTTGGGGCAAAACCGACTGAGCAACTGAGCGCCCAAACTTCAAATATTACGCGGATCACTAGAATTTCTATTACTCTCTTACTCTCTCTCTCTCTGTCTGTTGGCGGTATACCCGTCTCTTTCGGCTGTGGTATTGCCATCTCTCTTGCCAAGTCTGATACGTTTGTTTTGACCAATTTAGCGTATTAACTTCATCATCGTGTTCCGCACGCTTTGAGCCGCTTTTATAACATGGCTATGTGCTCATCGCCAGCTGACTGCGTGGGTGCTTTACACACTCGAGTATATACCAGGTATTATGCAAATTAACCCTTTTTCCAGACAGAGTTGGGAAAACGGCGGATTCGTAATTTATGCATCGGCAATCGCTCTAATTAGCCAAAGCCAGCGGGCTTCAACAGCTCATTAAACGCATTAGCGTTTACACTGCCGGGCCAGACATTACCAACAATTAATAGAACTTAATTATTGAATCAGTATAGATACGATCGGGAGATACCCATTATATAGGCAATAGTATTTCTAATATTTGTGGGAAGAAATTCGGAGAAACGTTCTGGACTATTAGCTTTTGAAATAATTAACACTTGAGTGCTAAAATTTTATAGTTTACAAATGCCATTATAAAATATAGATCAAAGATTTGCAAAAAATGAGGTTTATATATTAATACATACAAATTAAATATAAATTTATTGATAAGTACAATAGATTATTAAGATCATTTTCCATAAGATAATAAATCTTGAAATATATTACTTTATTATCAATTATTTAAAAGTTCACTAATCCTATCTATAAGTCATAATATTTCGAAATCTTAAGGAATATTAATACTGTTTTTATTCCATTTTGGAACATTAAAATCATATATGGTTACCCCTGAGTAAGCTTCCTGTTGCAAACAAAACAACCGCCTTATATGCCCCATTTTGGGGAATACAGACTTTTCCGGGGGGACTAGTCTAGTCCGGGGGGAGGTGTCGGGCCAACAAAATAGACAATGAACAAAAGACACAGTAACAACGCAACACCTGAGTTCAGGTGCTTGGCAGTTTGGCAGTTTCTTTGAAGTGCTGAGCATTCTATGGAGCTGTTCAGACACGAGTTTTGATGACGAAGACGGTGACCGGGTGTCTCTTTGTTTGGTCTAATGAGTGATTCGAAAAAGATTCAAGGGGGGAGAGATGTGTGATTTCTGTGTGTCTGTGTGGGGCTGTGGGTTTTTTTCCCCCGATTTTGTTCACTTTTCAGTGGCATTTTGATTTGTTTCGCTTCCGATTCCGCCGTGCTCAAAAGCGCTTTATGCGAGTCATTAGATTGTATCTCCATATCTGTGTATCTGTGAAATTCGAGTGCCGACAGAGTTGTTGATGGCTGTTCAAGTGGAGTTGAATGCCGCTTTGAAGCTGCCTGACAATTAAAGGCTGCATATTTTAAGCAAATAACCAAACACGTGTTATTCTTCGATGGAATTGAAGAGCACCACTGCATTTGGGCAGTCCCAGTTGACTCGTAAATCTCTGCCTGAATTACATTTGCCTATTTTTCAATTGTAATCTTCTTTAATTTGAAATTCAGGTTCAGGCCGGCGGGACTTGCCTACTTTTAGGCTCAGTTCTCGACTAAGAGCAGCTGCTGCCCAAAAGTAGGCAGTCCCTGTGTGTGCAGCTTGTGGCAAATAAATATAAACGTATGTACATAAATAATTAAGCAGCACGTGCCCATGTGTGCGGATTAAATCTTTGTTAAATTCTGAATAGCATAATGAGGGTATTATGTTTATTGATTTTATTGAGGCAATTTAGAAACGATTAAAGCTTAATTAAAGCTTAACAAACAATATAAAGTGCATCATAAACACATTTAAATTGTTAAAATAAGCATAATAATGTATAAATTAATTCCATCAAGACTGACTAGTATAATTCTACAATTTAATTAAATAATGTTAACCTTTCCAACTTTTCTATTATTGTATTTAATTGTTAAAACATGCAAGGCTGTAGCCCGAAGAAATGGAAACATGTACAAATACTTTCAACAAATATACACTGGGACTGGGGCAATCTAAAATCACAGCGGGATACGAGGAAGCCTCGAACCCCGTCTCTGGGGCAGGGGGAAAGTTCACGCCATTCGCAGAATCATGAGCCAGCAACTTCCATACATAAACACTTTTCAGCAGCAGCAGCAGCAGCATCTGCAGGCGAGAAAATAAAGAAACACAAAGTCTTTGCCACATGCTGCATGCCACAAGCACACTGTCGTGGCCACCAAATTGGGTGCCAGGGTGCTCCCCCTGCCCGGGCCAGACCAGGAGAAATATTGCTGCGCCAAAATGTTTATTGTGAAAAGATTAATAAAATATGTATAACTGCAAATTGGAACGGTTTGGTGTGCAGGAAGCCGGAAATAAATCCAAACTTCAATGAATATTCAATTTGTAGAAAATATTACTCATACAACCCGTTGTCTCTGCAAAAAACAAAATATTATGAATTAATCATTGAGAGTGTGTTCCTTGGGGGGAATGGTCCCTCGTTTAGTAAATGGCTTTGTTCTAAACTTAAACATCAAAGGAATTGTATTTAAGGATTGAGGTAGGCCAGCACATGGAATATAAAGACCCGAAGCATTTTTAATATTTATGGCTCGTGTGCGAAATAAATCACTTGAACAGAAAAAACAGACTTCGGTGAGTAGTGAAGAAAGCCAAATGATATATCTTTTGGTCGGCTTCCAGTCGCTTGAGTATTATATCAAATGGAACAAATGCCCTTTACGCACCCGAATTGCTCATTGAATCGGCATTTGGGTGTATATTTTAATGTTTATTGAATAAAGATGAGAGGCCCACATCTTTTTTATGCAACTTTTAAATATTTACACTTCTTATAAGGCCTGCCCTTGACAACAAAATCAATATTGGAATATGTAATGAGTACTTTGGAAGACACAATTATGAATATGTGTCAGTCCGGCCACATGTCCGGCTGGGCCAACTGCATTGTGTACAAAGTATCAAGTACAGAGACCCATATATCTGTTTGGCTATACGAGCTACCATATAGAATTTATCAGCTATTAAGTCATGCACAAACACAGATAAGAGGGAGGATATAATAGTAGGCTTTGGGGACTGTCAGCAGTTCAATACTTTAGCATCCACCCTCGTCCTCACTCACATCACACAATGACAGCTGTTTGGGGGCCCAATGCCAGCTACAATAAAATCCAAAAAAAAAAAATGGCAACAATCCCCAAGCAGGGTAACAGCCACAAATAAGCCAAATTATGGGTGGGTGTTGAAATTGAAAATTGTGAGTTGCGGATTGTATATCGTGAATGCTGTTTGGCGAGCGGTTATTGTGTATTTATGTGCACATTTAGCACAATTAAAAATTAACACACACATGGGGGTCCCATCGTCATCTCGATCGCCCCAAAGACAACACTGAGCTGGATATAGAAGATCGTAAATAGAGATCGAGGGGAATACATATATGAATTCGATACACATACGTTTAAAGATACAGAATGGCTGTCTTGGTCAAATGCCGGCTCTTAAGGAAGTGGGCGAGCGTGTTTTTACAGTTATAGAGCACACACAGCTGCTCCAATCGCCTGCCTACCTATTTACTTATAACAAGGGGGGTATACCCCCACAGAGCTGGAGTGGGGCTGGAGTGGGGTCTCCCCTGGCGTTTCAGCATCACAAAGAGTAAACGTGACCGGTTGCCGGCAGGCTGAGAGACCGCGGCTCAAGAAATGGCCCAGAGGAGAAGAAGAAGTAAAATAGACCATCAAGAGTACGAGTACGAGTATGAGTACAAGGGGGCCTGGACCATCCAATACTCACATGCAACACCAGCGCAACATTCAGACACACTCATGAATGCCAACACATACCAAGCCATGCCAAGCCAGACAGCGGGGGTTACATCAATAGAAACTATGACCAGAAATCCATATATTAAATATTTGTGAACTTTGCAAGATTTTAAAGATACCCAGAAGTATAGAAAACTACAAGCTATAGACAGCTTTCTTTAAAATTGATTAATACATTTGAATTTTGTGATTTATTTGTTGATTTATTTTAGTTAGACTTTGGTCTATAGAGTAATTAAGATATTCTAAAAATTAAATAACATAATAGAAGTGCTTAGTGAGAGCAAAAAAAGAACCTATAAATTCGTAAGAATTTGTATTTGAAATGAACGTATTGAAACTAATATTTTTGACAAATATTTTTTTTGTATACCATATAGCTAAGGTTTGGTATAGCTAAGGTTTCTTGGATTATTCTCCTCATAAACAAAACAAAAAAACCCTAATTTCATTAAAAATTAATCCAAATCGTAACTAGTAGTATAGCCAAAAGTGTAACTATACATAAATAGGTGCCAAGTGGAAGCACGCATGACGCGAGCTTTGCGAAACTCTACGGCAGGCCATGTTGAAGGTGGCCAGGCCTGTGGCATGGGGGGCAGGTGGCACGGCCTCATGACTGTTTTATTTGAAAATTTTTGGAGAAAGGCCACATGGCACGAAGCCGAAGGAGAAGTGGCCAAAACGGCAACTGCAGTGGCATTGCCCGGAGGAGGAGGAGGATACGGTGGAGGAATGTGTTAGAGCCAAAACGCTAAACGATGACGTAGAGCCTTATTTTTAAGCATCGTATGGGGAAGGAGGTTTACTTAAGGGGGGAAATACAATTAAAAGGCCTAAAATGAGGCCTATCTTTGGGAGTGGATTGCAAGTAGGGAATTGAATGAATCTTAGCGATTCTTTTTGCATGTTATTAGGAAATTATTGGGCAATGAAAATCAGTCAAGTTTTTCGAAAAATATTGTAATTAAGTCCATTTATGATCAATAATGTGGAGACGTGTTTTGGGGGATAAACTTTGCGCCGTGCAGTCTCCAGGCCCAGGATCACGTCTAAAACAAAAAACAGCAACTGGGCATTAAACTTAGAGGTACAGCGCACAACATGAATTATT